TCTGCATCTGGCTTGAACCTCTGGTAATTTCCTCTCAATGTCCTGTTGGAGCTGTTTTTGAATGATTTCACTTGCATGTGCTAGTAATAATATTGTCTGATGATTTCCACATTCCTTTCTCTTTGGAATGGGCCCAAATATGGATGTATTCCAACCCCTTGACCTGGTAGCTGTCTTCCAGATATCTTGTCATAGATGAGTTCCTCCAATGCTGCATCAGTTTGTTGAAAGATTTCAATTTGTATTCCATCAGTTTCCAAGGCCTTGTTCTTTGCCAATGTCTTCAGTGCACCTTGGACTTTAATTCCTTCAGTACCACTGGCTCTTGATCCTATGCTGTCTCTTGAAATTGTTGAACATCGTCCACTTCTTTTTGGTGCAGTGTCTCGGTATATTTCTTCCATCTTCTTTTGATGCTTTCTACATCATTCAATGTTTTCCACATAGAATCCTTCAGTATTTCAAGTTGAGGCTTGAATTCTTACTTCAGTTCTTTCAACTTGAGAAATGCTGAGTACTGGTCTTCCCTTTTGGTTTTCTTAACTCAAGGTCATTGCACATTTCATTATAATATTTGACTTTGTCACCTGAAGCTGCCTTTTGAAAACTTCTGTTCAGCTCTTCTACCTCCTCATTTCTTCCATTTGCTTTAGCATCTCTATTCTGAAGAGCAAGTTTCAGAGTCTCTTCTGACATCCATTTTGGTCTTTTCCTTCTTTCTTACCTTCTTGATGACCTTTTACTTTCTTCTTGTATAATTTTCTTTAGTTATTAGTGTCTAATGCATCAAATGTGTTCTTGAGATGGTCTTTAAATGCATATGGGATATGTTCAAGGTCAAAGTTTTGCTCATGTGGACTTCTTTTAATTTTTTTTTTTTGCTTCAACTTGAACTTGCACATGAGCAATTGATCATCTGTTCTCTTCCACAGTCTGCCTCTTACCTTGTTTGGGCTGATGATATGGAGCATTTCCACTGTCATTTATCACAGAGATGGTTAATTTGATTTCTGTGTATTCTATCTGGTGAGGTCCATGTGCATAATTGTCTTTTAGGCTTCTTCAAAAAGGTATTTGCAATGAAGAAGTCATTGGTCTTGCAAAATTCTATCATATGACCCCCAGCATCCGTTTAGAGCAATTTACTTCTGATGTCTGGTTGCTTTATGGGCTCAGCTGATTTATACAATTGGGCTGCTAATCTCAAGTGTAGCAGTTTGAAACTATCAGCAGTTCCACAGGAGAAAGATGAGGCTTTCTGCTCCCGTAAAGATTTACAGCCTTGGAAACCCTGTACAGGGTCTCTCCAAGGCACATAACAACAGTTTTAGAATTAAGGGACACTGTGGGCTAGGTGTTGGGCTGCTTGTCTCAAGATGTGGCAGTTCAAACCCACCAGCCCCTCTGTGGGAGTTGAGGCTGTCTGCTTTCATACAGATTTACAGTCTTGGGGTCTCTAAGGAGCCGTAACACACTGTCCCATGGGATCACTGTGAGTCGGAATTGACTAGATGGTATTGGTGGGTTAATACTACTATTTCATTACATTTGGGCCTTGATTAAAAACTTTGCAACAAAAGATGTAAGACAAATGAGAGTTTTATTTCAATACTATAACTGAACAGATTGTTTTTTCATAAAAAGCAGTAATGAGTTTAAAATGATAATTCTAACCTTGTATATTTTCTTTCTTTTCTCTCCCCAATACAGTTAATAAACATAAACCATGGCTTGAGCCCACCTATCATGGTATCATTACAGAAAACGATAACACAGTCCTCCTGGACCCTCCTCTGATTGCCCTGGATAAAGACGCCCCTCTACGCTTCGCAGGTACCAGAATGGTTGTTATTTACTCCTGATGAATTCAGACGGGATGGGAAATGCTGTATGCAGCCCATTTCTGAACCTCTGTGGAAACGTCTTGGTAGCAAAGTGTTATCCGTGGCTCCTGTGCACCAGATGTTTTCCTTTTCATTTTGACAGTAGAGACAGCTGACCAAATGTGACTCTCTGCATTCCTGGTCTTGGTGGAGCCAGGTAGATCCTATCCAGGTCCATGTGTCTCAAAGTTGAGTGTGGGCACATAGTACCTAGGGGATCTGGGGAAAACAGAGATGAACTAGGCCTGGAGGAACCTCAGACTTCGTCTGTAACTTGGTCCCAGGTGATGCTAACACTGCTGTCTTTGGGCAGAGATTTAGATAACTAGATAATTATGCTGCTGGTCTCTTCATGGCAAAGAATTAGCTTATTACAGCACAAGATTTTCTTTATGCTTCCTAGATTTCAGGTGTCTGAAAAAAAAGTTTAAAACAAAACAAAAAAAAGCATTAAGCGCTCTTTATAGAGGAATCCTTTTGGCTTAGATTTTATTTCTAATACATTTTTAACCTGACCTCTTTCATGAAACTTTAACACCTAAGTCTTTTGTAGAGACAAATCTCTAGGATTACTTTGGAAATTTTCATAATGTGTAATAGGTTTCCACTTCGCTAGAATTTAATCATACTTTCTAGATCAAAATTGGTTTTGATTCCTATCAGATATTCATATCTGTGTCCTGAATTGATGAAGGGCATTTGCTGTTTACCTCTTTCTTTGCCCTAGAATGGGGATTGATATTGTAAAATTAAGTTTTAAAGGATGGTTTTTGCATGCTAGAATACAGCTTCGTTAACTAAAGAGTGTGTTTTGTTTGCAAACATGGACTAAGAGAAATAACATCATCCATACATTTTTGCGACAGTTAAGCAAGGAAATGAACATGGGGTTGTTTCTGAGGAGTTATTTTGAAAAAGAAATTTGTGCTTCATTCTGCTCAAGTGCCACATCGTATTTTCCGAAACGTGGCCTGAAAAATTAGCATGTGCTGTTCGAGAGAGCGATGGAGACAGACCTTTCCAGTTCATTGTATTTATTCATCTAAAATCCTATTAGATGGACAATAGAGGAAGTAGTCTGTGCTGTGAACACACACAGAGCACTTATTCAGCAGCTGAGGTGATTTGTGGTTTTCCCCCAGATTGAAAATCATTTTTAGCATTGCATGTTGGTTTCCTCTGTCCTAACTAGTTTTTTTTTCCTTAGCATTTGTGCATGACCATATATATACACACACAGCCCTGCACACACCATACTTGCTTATTATATAGTTTCTCCTTATGAGTATGATGCTTAATGCTATATAAATCATTTTAAAGGGCTATCTCCCTTGTGTTTTGAGTGGACGTAGATGCGTTTCTGACACCTCATGCATTTTAAGAAGTGATTGAAGCCAAGAGTTCATGTTTACTCCCTAAAATCTTTCTTTACCGTGTGAAGGGTCAGCTGCACACAGTCCCCTAGCATTTGTGGAACACTAGCTCCTACATTAAGGAGCCTTGAGGGACAACAGTTAAGTGCTTGGCTGCTAACCGCAAGGTCAGCAGTTCGAACTCACCCAGCAACTCTGCGGAAGAAAGATGTGGCAGTCTGCTTCCATAAAGATTGTTGTTGTTGGTGTGTGCTGTGGAGTTGGTTCTGACTCATAGCGACCCTGCACAGGGTTTCCAAGGCTGTAAATAAATCTTTACGGGAGCAGAATGCCCCATCTTTCTCCCGCAGAACCACTGGTAGTTTCGAACTGCTGACCTTGCGGTTCACAGCTCAATTCGTAATCACTATGCTACCAGAGCTACAGCCTAGGAAACCCTATGAGACAGTTCTGCTTTGTCCTTTGGGATTGATGTGAGTCAGAATGGACTCATATCATCTGTATTGTTAATCATGCACAACACTTTAAAAAGCATCTACAGTGTTTCAGGCATTATTCCAAGTGCTTTCCAGATTTGGATTTAATGCGCACAACAGTCTCATTAGGTAAGTGCTGTTTGTAGCCACCTCCATTTTAAAGACAAGGAAGCAGAGGCCTGTTACCTGCTCTGGGTCATACAGCTAGTATGTGAGTATGTGGCAGAGACAGGAAGTTTCGAAAGGGAGGAGGAATTGAAGTGTGCATGGCGAGGAGTAACTTGAAGAAAAAAACCATAGCAATAAAGCAGCACTTATATTTTTCTTTGTCATTTCATTTTATGGTATTGTTTATCCAAAGTTAATGTCCTATCACAAATTTAATATTAGTTAAAAATAGTTTTATAGCGTGATTTTCATTGATGTTACATATTGACTTTTTTTTTTTTTTTTTAACTATAAAGAGAAGCAGTTTAGAACTAAGTAAGACATAGTGATAACTTGATTATATTTGTCATGGTGGTGGTGTGCCGTGAAGTTGGTTCTGACTCTTAGTGACCCTGCATAGGGTTTCCAAGGCTATAAATCTTTATGGGAGCAGAAAGCCTCATCTTTCTCCTGCAGAACGGCTGATAGGTCTGAACTGCTGACCTTGAGGTTACCAGCCCAACTCGTGACCATTATGCTTCCAGAGGTCTTTATATTTGTCATGTTGTTGTTGTTGTTGTTGTTAGTACTGTGGAGTCAGTTCCGACACACAGTGACCCTGCACAGGGTTTCCGAGGCTGCAAATCTTTACAGAAGCAGAAAGTCTGATCTTTCATAGTGGGCAGATAAGCGAATATTTTTCTTTTGGAGATTTTTCACGGGGGAGCCCAGCAACGCACCACACATACACATGAGCGTAAGTCAAAATGTATTGCTACAAAATTATAGAAACCTTTTAAACAAAAATATCAAAATGTGAAGCTATTGTTTTTTGACATGCCCTCCATCTAGGTCTACACACTCCTGAAGACAGTGTTTCCAGCTCTCTAACTCTCCTCGGAAGAAATCTCCCCTCTTTGATTTATACCAGGACAAAACGGCCAGTTTGGGCATCATTGAGGAATTCAAATTATGTTCCTTTTAAATGCTCTTTGAGTATGGGGAATAAAAAGAAGTCTGAAAGGGCAAGATTAGGGCTGTAGGATAAAGTTTCCCAATCAAATTCTTGTAGGACAGCCCTTGCTAACCCTCCAAGAATGAATGAATGTATTGTTGTGATCAGAAACAATTCCTTAGTGCAACTTTTCTGGTCTTTTCTCACCAAAGCGGTTTTCAGTTTTCTAAAATTCTTCACAGTAAGCCCTCATGATTCTCCTGTGCCCTTCTAGGAAGTCTGTCAAGATTACGTCTTTGAAATTCTCAAAAACAGTCATGGTAACATTCTGAGCGGCCCTCTTTGCCTTGATCTGAACTGGCCAGCAGATCCCCTCCAGCACCATGGTTTGATTGTTGTTGTTAAGTGCTGTCGATTTGGTTCCAACTCATAGCTAGGACCTCATTTTTGAGACCTCTCGGTGTGATGCTGTAGGATAAATCCTGGACTGCTAACCACAAAGTAGAATATTCAAACCCATTGGCCGCACCTTGGAAACCCTATGTGGGGCTGCTACGAGTTGGAACCGACTTACCGGCGCTTAACAACAACAACAACAAAACAAGACTAAGACAGTATTACTTACTGAGAAAACATTTCTGTCTCCATCTACTGGTTGCAGAGACATGTTTAAGCACGTTTTATTGGGAATAAACTGAAATAGAAACATAGTAGCAATACTTTTTGATGGAGCCTAATGCTTATATATATATATATATATATATATATTCCTCCCGATATAATTCATATACTATAAAATTCATCCTATTTAAGTCTAGAATTCAGTGGTTCATAGTACATTCATGGAGCTGTGCACTAATTCCAGAACATTTTCTTGCCTGTCCCCTTTAGCATTGTCTCCCCATTCCCTTCGCACTAGCCCCAGCCAACCAGTAATATGCTTTCTGACTCTGTAAGTTTGTCTATTTTAGATATTTCAGACGAATGCAATAATATAATATGTGGTCTTTTGTGACTATTTCCACTCAGTATGTTTTCAAGATTCATCCATATTTTATAGCATGTATTAGGCCTTCATTCCTTTTTATGGCTTGGTAATATTCCATTGTATGGATGCCTACCACCATGTGTGTATCTATCACTTGGAGTCTGGTGTGGCACTGTGGGTTAAGGCGCTAGGCTGCAAAGTTGGTTTGAACCACAAGGTCGGCAGTTTAAGCTCACCATCTACTCCTTGGAAACTCTACTCAGGATTGCTGTAGGTCAGAACTGACTCGACAACACTTAACAGCAACAGCAGTTTATCACTGGTGGACATTTGGGTTGCCTCCACTTTTTTGGCTATTCTGAATAATGCTGCTATGAGCATTTGTGTACAAGTTGTTGACAAGACAAAGGTTTTCATTTCTCATGGGAATATACCTAGGGGTGAAATTGATATTCATATATTCTCGACTGACACATGGTCCTTCCTCTTCTCTGCCCGAGGAGGGAGGGAGCAGCTGTATGAAGTAGAGAAGGGGACATCGCCCATGTCACTTTCCTTTCTTTGTTCTTCTGTTGCTCTGGTATGAATCCAACCACAGCTCAGAATAATGTCTTCCTGAGGCCATAACAGACAGGCAGGAACACAGACTCTCGACCCACTGGCCTGCATTGGAATCCTACTTGTTGGCTGTGTGGCTTATACCAAATTTCTTAACCACTCCATGCCTAACTTTCATCATTCATACAATGGGGAGGATAATGTTACGTATTTCATAAATAGTAACTTATTTATTTGTATATGTAGAGAGTTTGAAACAATGCTTTCTCATGTTGCTCTTGTTGCTAATAATAACACACTGCCATGGAGTTGGTTCTGACTCATAACAACCCTATAGGACAAAGCCGAACTACTCCTTAGGGTTTCTGAGGCTGTAAATCTTTATAGGCGCAGACAGCCTCATTGTTCTTCTCTGGAGCAGCTGGTGGGTTTGAACCGCTGACCTTGTGGTTA